TATAAAATAATCAATAGTTTTTAAAAAAAATACTTTTTCTCACATATTTACACACATATATTTATAATTTAATTTATTTAAAATTTTTATTTTTAACACTTTATTAGATATTTTTAATTCTTTATGAAATTTAAAATAAAATAAATTAATCAGAAACTAGTACACATAAGATTTATTTTAAAATTTGATAAAAGAAGTCTGCAATATAAATTCATGAAACAATATAATTAAAAAATATGTAATATTTGCTAATTATATTATACAAAATTTTAGATTTTATTATTATATTTTTTAATGAGAATGTGTTTCGTTTTAATTATGAAGTAACGTTTAATAATATTAGTATTGAATTTAATACAAGATACAAGTATTTTCAGAACGGTTTATATCGATAAGTTAATTATTTTTTTCTATAGCTTATCCAGATTATCGAATAATGAATTTATTTGTTGTTCAAAAATCAACATTACTCTTTTATTTGGAATGGTAATCATATGTGGCCTTCTACTTCACAAGATTGACAGTTTATTGAAAAATTCGCCAATCTATCAGAGGTATAAAATCACTTTAAAAAAGGTAAAAAAAGGCGACCAGTTAAGGGCACGCCATTAACAAAAATTATCCATTGCAAACCCATGTAGAATCCTATCCTATTGCAAACCCATGTAGAATCCTATGAAAAATTAATCATTGCAAACCCATGTAGAATCCTAGGCAAAATTAACCATTGCAAACCCATGTAGAATCGTACCCATTGCAAACCTATGTAGAATCCTATGAAAAATTAACCATTGCAAACTCATGTAGAATCCTATGAAAAATTAACCATTGCAAACCCATGTAGAATTGTATTAAAAATTATCCATTGCAAACTTATGTAGAATCCTACATTGCAAACCCATGTACAATAGAATTGTATGAAAAATTATCGATTATAAACCCATGTACAATCGTAACAAAAGTAATGAAATAAAAAAAAAATTGCGCCAAGTGAAAGTAGAAACTTGTACCAGTGGAAAATTAAAGTTGCAGACATATATAGAGTCGTATAATGAATCAGTAAAAATTTAAATTTGCAAATGTAGAATCGTACCATAAAAAAACTTATCTTTAAAAAAAAAAGATAAACAAGATGCCAAGTCCATGCGCCATGTGAAAAAGAAATAAAAAAATTTTAGTTAAAAAAACTGGGCGCGCTGCTAAGTTTCAAAATTACAATGCACCTTAAAGTAACATTAATTAATTTAAACACAAAACATATTTTAACTGTAATGAGTTTAAAAGTAACAATTTAATTTTAATATTGTTAGAATATTATTTAGCAGCGCTCCCAGTTTTTTTAACTAAAATTTTTTTATTTCTTTTTCACATGGCGCATGGACTTGGCATCTTGTTTATCTTTTTTTTTAAAGATAAGTTTTTTTATGGTACGATTCTACATTTGCAAATTTAAATTTTTACTGATTCATTATACGACTCTATATATGTCTGCAACTTTAATTTTCCACTGGTACAAGTTTCTACTTTCACTTGGCGCAATTTTTTTTTTATTTCATTACTTTTGTTACGATTGTACATGGGTTTATAATCGATAATTTTTCATACAATTCTATTGTACATGGGTTTGCAATGTAGGATTCTACATAAGTTTGCAATGGATAATTTTTAATACAATTCTACATGGGTTTGCAATGGTTAATTTTTCATAGGATTCTACATGAGTTTGCAATGGTTAATTTTTCATAGGATTCTACATAGGTTTGCAATGGGTACGATTCTACATGGGTTTGCAATGGTTAATTTTGCCTAGGATTCTACATGGGTTTGCAATGATTAATTTTTCATAGGATTCTACATGGGTTTGCAATAGGATAGGATTCTACATGGGTTTGCAATGGATAATTTTGTTAATGGCGTGCCCTTAACTGGTCGCCTTTTTTTACCTTTTTTAAAGGTGAGTTTTTAGAGATTATTTTTTTATGACCGGAATAGAACAATTATTAAACATGTTTATCTAAACTTCTTTGCTTAAAATGATGTGTACAATCATATCCTAGAATCCTGATCATTCCTCCTAAAGCACCCTATTTATATAAATTTACCCATATGTGTGTGTGTGTGTGTGTGTGTGTGTGTGTACTAATGTCGAGCATTTTTTATACATTTTCTATTAAATTTAGATAAAAGTTGCAGGATTTCGAAAAAGAAAAAGTTGACACAGACTTTTTCCTAAACGGCGATTTTCAAGGTTATTTAAAGGTCACTTATATTTTCAAAATAGAATTACCTTAATTTTTCTCATATAAATCGATTCCTCGCAATATTTACTATAAAAAGTTGTAAAGGTATAATTTTTACATAATCTTACATAAACTTCGAAATATTACAAATATTTTATTTTATGAAATATTTCAGTTTATGTAAAATTATGTTAACTATCTTTTAAATTATTCACTTTTAGCCATCTTACCCTTACAACCTTTTATAGTGAATATTGCAACAAATTGGTTTATATATATAATATATATATAACATCAGTTATTATTAATTGATGTTTACATTTATTTTTAGACTTACTAGAGCTCAAATGCTCCACATTTTTGCAAAAACTGTTTATTCTACAGATTTCAAATATGCTTTTAAATGATGATTGAATATTTCCTTTTTTTAATTATTTTTATTATTATTTTTCAATCTCAATCAACTTTTATAACTTTATGCCAGCACGATACAAATACATGTGTCTTTATTTTTTTTATTATTTTCATTATTATTTTTCAATCTCAATCAACTTCTATAACCTTATGCCAGCAGGATACAAATACATGTATGTCTTTATTATTGTATCAACTCTTGTCTTTTCCATGTAACCATGTCTTCAAGTAAGTATCCCTTCATCTTCTCAATGTAATGTTAAATATTGGCATAATACGCGATAACTGTAAAAACATGATTACGTGGAGCAGAGTTGGTAATGTGGCTGTAATGTATCGTATTGGTAACGCTATATCCGCGGAGCAGATTGTGGCTGTAGAGGTAGTCTGCAGCTAATGTGGACGTAGATGTTGATTGAGATAATTGTCTAATATAAAATAGAATTTAAAAATTTAGTTTAAAAAGCTGTTGCATATATAAATAAAGTTTATTTTTTCTAAATTTGGAATATGTTTAATTAATTAATTTTTAAGTCTATGTTTAATAAATTTTTAAGTCTGTATTCAATAATTTTATTCATTTGATAAATACATGTATGTCTTTATTTTGATATGTTTAATATAATTAGAAATTCATTATTAATTAGATATGTAAACTATAAATTCATATATAATATTTGAAAATATATGTGAATATTTAAATTTTTATCTTCTCCTTCCTCTCCTTCAATCTCTTTAATATCAATATGTGTATGTGTGTACACGCGCGCACATTTGTACGTATTTATTTAATTATTGGATAGTTGAGAGTACTTAATTGATAAAAAATTATGACAATAATAATCCTTGTTTTTTTTTCTTATTATTTACTCAGATTTTTTTGTCTATCTTATAAGATAAACACTTTAGAGATTGAATATTTCAAGTAAACTAATTGTAAGTAAATTTCACATTAATGCATATAGATGTTTAATCATGAATGTACTAAATAAGTACACAAGACGAACAGTGAGTGAGTGAGTGAGAATGAGAGAGAGTGTGTGTGTGTGCGTGTGTGTGTGAGAAAGAGAGAGAGAGAGAGAGAGAGAGAGAGAGAGAGAGAGAGAGAGAGAGTTAGCCAACATAACCCGCACGCTGCCGATCATGAATGTACTAAATAAGTACACAAGACGAACAGTGAGTGAGTGAGTGAGAATGAGAGAGTGTGTGTGTGTGTGTGTGTGAGTGTGAGAGAGAGAGAGAAGAGAGAGAGAGAGAGAAGAGAGAGAGAGAGAGAGAGAGAGAGAGAGAGAGAGAGAGAGAGAGAGAGAGAGAGAGAGAGAGAGAGAGAGAGAGTTAGCCAACATAACCCCGCACGCTGCCGATATGGCGGAGCGCCACTATCGCCATCTGTTGTAAAACGTGCGAGATGGACAAAATTACCACTACATGCATCTTGCATGTGTTGTGTACGTGTGATATATGTGTGCGCATGTGTTGTATACGTGTGAATACGTGTAGCACGATACTACTATGTATGCGTGGTCGATGATGATAATGATGATGATAATGATGATAATGATGATAATGATGACGGGGACGTTTCTTAATAGAAATTTTTCATATTTCGACTTTGCATTTATATATCTCTGCTTACAAATCACGTAGAGCAGAAATAAAGACACTTTTATTATATAATTCGAACTCAATCTATCGATTAAGTCTAGTATAAACTCGATTGCTTCAGCCATTATTGAGGATTCGAAATATTATAAAGACTCAAATGTCCGACTCGCGTTAAGATACACGGTGTCTCCGCTACGCCCTTAACTGGTCGCGAGACACTACCGTGTCTCTTGATATATATAATAAAATAGTCCGCGGTATGACATAATATATAATAGAAATATCACATAATATAATAAAATAATTTTTAACTATTAATATTATAAAATATGTGTTAAGTTGGAAGATAATTAATTCTTTATCTGGATTTTAATTAAATATTATTTTATAAAAGTACATACATACGCGGTCACGCGTATACTCACACACACGCGCGCGCGCACGCACGCACACGCAAACGAACACGCACACATACAGTGTCCGGTAATAGCCGCACATATGTAGGTACAGGAAATTAATTAAATAGTTCTTCAAAGATTTGCTATAAATAAAATGATGAACGGTGCGGCAGTAAAAAACATTTCACTCTTACGCGATTACTACCCTGTATACAAATACAATATAATTTTCCTTTATAAAATCGTTATGTTTTCAAGTAACCATCAAAATAAATATATATTTGTAATATATTTAATTTTCATAATTTTGATGTAAATTGTAGCACCCTTTATACTACGGATGATGCACCACATCCTCACAGAAGAAATGTTTCAGGAAAGCATAAGCACATATGCATATGACACGTGAGTAATACAATATAGAATATAATATCAAAAAGATAAAATTGTACACAACATAAATGTAATAATAATAGAAATTTTATATAAAGTTCCTTATTTTCTTTCGTTTTTTCTGACATTATTTCATAATGTTTTTTTCTTAATGTTACAAATCCGCTATTTTTTGCAAATCTTCTACTAGAATTATTTTTAATTTCATTACTCTTCCTATGTGAAAACCGTTTCTGGAGAAAGTAATTGTTGTTTTGCCATTATTACTTTATCATATATACATATTCATTGTTCTTTTATTTTTGTTTTATGATTTGTTATTTTTTAAAGTAATTTTTGAAATAATTTTTATTGTTTCTATTATCTCCTATATTTCATTATATTGTCTATAATTCTTATATCTTTTTTTTAATTGGATTTTGTGCTACATTTATTTTCTAATCTCATTTAACAGGTTTTTAAATATGTAACATTTATATCACTTCTCCATTACTTTTTTTATTTTTATTTCCTTCTCTCGTAAATCGAGTCTTTACATTATTTTTCTTATTTTTTTTTGTTTTAACTTGTTATTTGTTTTGTTCTTATTTGGTTATTTTTTTAAATTTGGTTTCTTCTTTTAATCATTTTATACTCTTTCAATATTTTGCTCAAATATAATCCGTATTAATGCTAAAAATACCTAAAAAATTAAATAAAATTATTAAATTTTATTTAAAATTGTGTTATATATTATTTATTATTAGAATATAAATATAAGATATATAAATATATATACAAAGTGCAATTTTATAATTTGCTTTTTAATATTTGTTAAAGTCTTTTATAATATTAATATTTTACAGACAATTTTAACATATTTGTAATGTTTTTTTTATATATTTTTCATACTGCGTAAATTTAGCAAATCACATGATGAAGGCTTTGTGGAGCTTACAAAACATATTGCTTTAAAAAATCCAAATATTACTCAACAACTAACAAGAATGGAAGATTGGGCTTTGGAAAATCATTGTCCCGTGATTAAAGCAGTACGAAATTATCATGATAGAGAGATAATGAGCGAAGTAAATGTATCGATACAATATATCAACACATTAAAAATTGGCTGCATTCCTGTAACTTTTACTAGGGAAGCGTCTCTCGATTTTAACAATTTTACTCATCATATGGTATGCGTGTCAAAGGATTTAAAATTATCATTACCATTTAAAGAGGATGGTTGGATGATATTCAATATACAACAAATTGGTAAATATCGACCAATGGACTTATTATGACATATTTCTCGTTTTTATTTTACACACACATAATTGATATTGTTTTATATTTTTATCTATTTTATTCATTGTCCTATAAAAATCTGAAATATTCATTAAATAACTGTAATAGATTTAAAATGCTTTTTGTCATATTCTGCATTATTATGTCCATAATATTATATTTAAAATGTACGTAGATGTTTTCTATAAATAATATCATTCAATATTAATGTTATATTTTTACAAATATATTTTATTCTAATAATAGCAAAAATTATTAAAAGAATAATTATATTTCTAAAATTAATTTTATTTTATGATATGCAACAATATCTTGCACAGTTTCATTTTTTTACTATTTCACATATTAAAATGCCATTTTTATAATTAATTTTCTATATATATTATCATTTTATTTATATTAAATTTTTGGTACGTTCTTTATTTATAATTTATATAAACAAAATTATGAAACATAAATATTTGAAAATGTATTCTGATAAAATTATTCAAAACAATAAAAATTGATAAAATTTATTTACTATTCGACAGGATATTATCGCGTTAACTATGATGATGAGAATTGGCGAAGAATTTCAAGTTATTTAAAATCAGATAATTACACGAAAATTCATGTTCTTAATCGTGCCCAAATAATCGATGATGCATTTCATTTAATGATAGCAGGCCAACTCCAATCCCATATATTCTGGGATCTCACAGAGTATTTGCATCGAGAAGAAGATTATGTGGCATGGTATCCTATGTTTAAAGCTATGGAATACGTATATGGTACTCATCGTGCATGGGAAAACATGGAGGGATATATTACGGTAAATATTAATAAATTTCAATGAAAATATTACATTTTAAATATTTGCATATACATTCATTGATCACAAATAATTTAAATATTTAGAAAAATATTTCCAGCAACGATAAGATTTTACATACTATTACGTCGCAAACAAATGTGCAAACAAATTTAATTTGAATAATCACTTGAATACTCACTCGAAGAACTGTCCAAAAAGTCAATAATTTTCACTACTCCACATATTATTGTATATAACATTGTTATCGATATGTAGTAAGGTGCTTAATCTTTGTCAATGAATGCAATTATATTGGCTTTACATCAATTTTACTTGTTAGTAATTAAAAAAAAATTAAACATATATATTGAGTTGGAAAAATTTAATTATATATATTTTAAAACAATATATTAATTTTATATCTTATTTAAAAATAAAACATGATTGATAAATAGTTATGAAACTTTAATATCTATTAAATATTATAAATATTTCGCACAAATTAAACCATATTTTTGCGTACATGTATAATACATATGTATAATTGCACGTATATGTATATGTACGTGAATAGATAAACGTTAGCGTCTTTGTCTTAAGTGAATTTGTATGTATGTTTGTTTTCTAGAAAAGAAAATTTTAAGAATCTATTGGAAAATCATTTAAAAAATGTAATAATTTTTAAATATATTTATAATATGAACAAATAAATGTATATTTAACAATTTTTAGACGAGAGTAAGGTACATTTTACGCGCGCTACTTGAAAGAATCAAATATGAAGAAATTGATGATACAGATCAACTTAGAATATGTTTACGACAAGAAGCTGCAAGATGGGCATGTTTTCTCGATGACCTCAATTGTAAGGAAGTAGCCAACAGGAAATTAGAACATCATCTCCTAGATCCTACAAAACACAAGTAAATATTTCGATATGTATATATTTTTTTAGCCTTTCTTAATCAAATTCTCTTGTATCGCCTATATTGTTCAAATGATTTGATCAAAAGATCCGTATGCTAATCTTTAATTAAAAAATTTAATTTTTACTATGTTTTAGACTTTTGCCATGGTGGCAGGAATGGACATATTGTAACGGTTTGAAGACAATTACCAACAAAACGACTTGGCAATTAGTGTATTATATAGGATATAACAAATCGGATACTAAATTTATAGAATACTTGGCTTGCCCTGAAGATCCTTATATAATTCAAGACTATTTAAAATATAAATTTTTTACAAAACAAGAAAATCAATATCTTCTTAACAATTACTTCCATATTATTACGAAGTATGCGAACGATGTATTTATCCTGCAGTACTACATATTAAATGACTTGTTTTACATAAAACCAAAGTAATGTGACATATTTTTAAATATTTAAATATTTGGTACAAAAATGTATTGTGTTTTATATATATATTTGTTTTTTCGTTTTTAGATATGTTGATATAACTGCAGCATTTACTGTTATTATTAATAACATATATACCGTAAATCTATTTCAGGTAAAAATTTTACATGTTTATATATGTATGTGTACAAATCGTGAGAATAATGCGATATTAACAATTATTATTTAATATTAAATAATTTTGATAATGTTACATAATAACGTTGTTTATTAATAATGTTAAAAAATAATACATTTTAGGAAATAAACGAATTCGTTGAATGGTTGAAGGATAATGTATACGTAATTACTGAAATAAAAGAAAAGGTAAATTTAATAAATATTATTATGGAAATCGAAAGAAAAAGAAATCTTGTTTTGTCTTATTAATTTCTAAATATTTATATTTGTTTATATATATTAGGTTTTCATAATGCAGAATTCTGATAAAATTGGAAGCAAAATATCATTACGCAAGAATCAACTCGAAAAACAAAGACAGTATTTGGATAGTATTTTCTATTGGTGGATGTAAAAAAATTGCAGCTTTGCATTGTGTGCGTGGATATACTTCATATTAATAGTTTTATATATTATATAAAATTATTATTTATAGTATTATTTATTTTATTGCTTTAATTATCTTATTAATTTCTGAATATTAATTTTATATTAATTTTGTTTATTATATAAAAGATATATATTAATTTCATTGTGCAAATCTTTGTTTATATATATTAGGCTTTCATAATGAGAATTCTGATAAAATTGGAAGCAAAATGTCAATTCGCAAAAATTAACTCGAAAGACAAATGAATAAGTATTTTGATAGAATGTTTTATTGGTAAAAGTAAAAAAAATTGTAGCTTTACATTGTGCGCGTGGATATACTTCATATTAACCATTTTTATATATTGTATGTATTATTAATTTTATTGCGTAAATTATTATTTATTTAGATGTATTACTATTCGATGCCTCTGTATTTACAAATCTTTATGACTACATGCATCAAGCTTTTCATTTTTTGAGAATTTGCTTAATGTAATTGAACTATATATTATTGCCTGTGTTCACAAGAAAGTATAATATTACTATAAATTTTATTGTTAGATATAAAATAAAAATAAAAATGTGTAAATATAAATAATATATACATATAAATTTAATTGTTAAATGCACTATCTATTAATTTTGAATTACAAATTGACTTGTTTTTAATTTTTAGGTGAATTAATGAAAATATATGTTTATATACGCACACACACATACACATGTATTAAATATTATAAAAATTTACAGTCAACATATTTATATATCGTGTTATTAAAATCGTTATTATCTACATTATATATATATGGTTGTATGTGTGTGTGGGTGTTGGCACATATAAATAATAATATTATATATTATATATTATGTATATATTATACAGATCATATTTATATAAATTATATAATTAATACAATATAATATATTAATAAATGAATACATGTATATATAAAACATGTTTGTATACATATAAGAATTAGTAATATGTTAAAGTTATATGTAAACTAATTATAATTATATGTGCTTATATGTTCAATATTTAAATATCTTTTACATTAAATATGTTATTATATTAAATTTGTGATTGATTAATATTTTTAGTTCACATTAAATCACAACACAATTTCTCTCTCTCTCTCTCTCTCTCTCTCTCTTCTCTCTCTCTCTCTCGCCCTTCCTCTCTTGTGTAAATCAACATTTTAATTTCAATAAAATTATTTAAATAAAATATTAGTTTTAATATTAATATTTATTAAATTATATTACATAACTTTTACATTGTGCAACATAATTCGGCGCTTATTACTAATATTTTTAATAGACAAAGATATACTGCAAAATGTGTTAATCGGAATTTTAACTTAATTATATTCAATTAATTTTAACATTTACATTTAAAAGAGATGTAAGCATAGATAGAAGATAAAAAGTATAAAAACTTTTATTATCAAATTGATGTTTTCAATAAGTTCGCGTCTAACATGTGCTTCTTCCAATCAACGCGATAAATTTTAATATTAAAACATTATCTTATTATTTTATTTGGCTCCCTTATTTATCGTATCGTTTCTTACTATTTTTTAATAAAAATGTCTAATCTATTTTAGCAAAATACAATTTCTACAACAGTGTTGCAACATGACCAAAAAATTCGAATAAAAATAGTAATTCGTTATACTGAAATAAATAATATAAAAAATCTAGAACTTTTAAAATTAAACATTGACTTTATAAGAAAACATCTACAGCATAATTTTATGTGATCTAACAGTATTTTTAATATTGTTAATTCGTTTTGCATTTATTGAAACTCGAGTATGCAAACTTGATCCCTGCACTAAATTTATAGGAAGATTCTGCGACAAGTTCTTGAAATAGCTAACATTTAAATATTCTAGAGGATTTATCGCCAGGTTCACCTCAATCAATGGCAATAACCAGAGATAACAAAGACACACTTGCCAGAGATAAAAGCTCTAATAGTAAATTGATTATCGTTTAAATTCAAATATTTTAAAGACATGAAAAACTCGCTCCATCCTTTCGGTAGAAAAATCAATTTGTTCTTCGAAAGATCTAAAAACGAAAATTGAGCTTTTATTAGAAAGGAATCCGTGACTGATTTTAATTGAGTAATTCTGACACTAAATAAAATGCTGAACAAAAGAAGGTATCGCGAATATAAATATTAATTTTAAAAATAATTAATATGAATAAGATAAATAAAATTATTAAGAATTATTGAAATAAT